CCCCCACCCCCCCATTAAATACCCCCCCGTCCCCCCCCCCCCCCAGCCCCCCCCCTCGCTTGTGCAGAGGCTCTGACTGTCTGGCCAGCGCTCAAAGACATTTTTGTGCACAATTAATTATTAGCACTTCTGCTCTTTATTAAACGTGTGTGTGTGTGTGTGTGTGTGTGTGTGAAGTGTTTGTTTTGGTAATTATGGAGCAGTTTGACTCATTTCCAACGGCCTCCAGTCATACTTCTCTGGTTTTGCTTTTTTTTTTTTCAGTTTCATAAATATGATAAATACAACTCTCTTTTAAATATAAAATATTTTTTAAAGTTTTAGTCAAATTCCTCGAACCAATCCTGGCTTTGATTAATGATCTGATTTTCAAACGTAGGGTTAATGGGAATATCTCCAATCTACTTTTATCTCTCCCTCCCTCTCCCTCTCCCTCTCTCTCTCTCTCTCCCTCTCTCTCTCTTTCTGACCTCTTCCACCAAATTCAATTTCCTCTAATATTCCCTGCCCTGTTTCTTTTCAGCGTCTGGATATGACATATCTCAGCATCTGTCAAAAAAACATTTGGGATTCTGGGTCATGTCTCTCGCTCCGACTTCAATCTTAGTTTCCTCTCCTGCCTCTACTTTTTTCGCCTCTGGCCTGAAGTTTTCCCTCCATCTAATAACCCTCCTCCTCCTCCTCCTCTTCCTCCCTCTCCACAGTTTTATCCAGCCTGTTATCAGTGGGCGCCCAGACGGAGATGAAGAAGGTTTTCGGGGACAATGCCACCTTACCGTGCCACTTCCAGTTTCCGTCGTCCAACTCCCTGGACATCGAGTGGCTGCTGCAGAAGCCAGACTCCAAACAGAAAGTGGTGAGACCGGGTTTCTTTCTTCACTCTTTTGATCGTTTTCTTTATGTGCTGCGTGAACAGGAAATGACATGGGGACGGTTGGAGTCCATTAAGAAGTCTGTGTAAAACTGAGGTTCAATTCCTGATTACAGTCAGTGACGTGGAGCAGGGTTTTGTCAACCAAAGGATGAAAAGAAGATGAAATATTAATTATTATTATAATAAGACGTGGAGCAGGGTTTTGTCAACCAAAAATGATGAATGATGAAACGAAGATTATTACAATTATTATTTTTGGATAATTATACAAATATTTCATAGTCAAATGAATTTGTGCTCTAACTGTTATTTTCTTATAAATAGGATCTGGAACCTCAAATTCATATATTTGTATAACCAACAACAACATATTTTAAAATAACATTTTCTTCTTTCTTGGCCTCGTTGATTGCTGTGGATTACATCATAAATCTGACATTTCTTTTTTTGCCAAAACCTCTTCTCTGTAAATGAATGATTTTTTTATTTAATTCATCGTAAAACAAAAACACAGGTTAGAGTTTATATCCAGTCTTTTAATGGAAACAGTGAAAACCTCCGTCTTCAGTTCAGGGAATGAGCTTCAAACCCGCGGTTGTGACAAACAACAGTTCAGAAAAAATCTTTTTAAAGAAGTTTCTGTCCTAAAATAGTAACCTGTGTTTAGTTCTGCTGTATTTTTAACCCAAGCCTCATATTTGTCTTGTCCTCCCCTGACTTCACCCCCACCGTGCGTCTTCTCTCTCTCCTCTACATCTGGGTCACACTGATTGATTTCCAGCGGGAGCTGTGATAGTTGCACATTAACTCGACGCTGCAGCGGCTCAGGTTTGGTGCTGTTTCTGCAAAGGAACAGCGTCATCACGGAAAGTTCTACAACTGTGGGGGAGGGGGGCAGTGGGGGGCATGTCTGAATCAGTGATGGAGGATAGAGATGATGTGAGATATGCTATGGCGATTCCTGACGAGGCCAAGAAGAAGAAACAGTTTTACAGCAGTTCCTGGACTGAGGAATCATCCAAGAAGCTTCCCTTCAGAGGACGTTCTATTTCCAGAATATATTTATTCATGTGTTATTAGAGGCACGCTTTGATGATTCGGGGGGGGTTCACTCTGCGATAAATATTTAACAGGAAGATAACATTGAAGACGCCATTAATTAAAATCAAACGTCTGAAAATGTGATTAGAGGAGAGACGGCGCCTCCAGTGGAATGAATAAATCATTCTTTTGTTCTGCTGAGGCGCGGTGTCGGAGCCAGAGCGTCATGTCAACACGGCAGCTCTGGTGGTGAATGTTACAGACGAGCTAACTGAGGTTACAGGTTAATGAAGTCCGTTACCTTCATTACCACCACATCACCACCAGGAGTCACTTTTATGCTGGGATTTTGTTGAAATGACCCTTTAAATTGAAGTTATTTTCCAAACTTCACGCTTTGTGTGATGTACAGGAAAATGTCAAATGTCTTTATAACTTCTTTATAGTTACATATATATATATATATATAATGGAACAAATGTTTTTTTTTTGTTTATTTCGTGGCCAGTAATGATCTACACCAGATGTAAAACTTCTTCATCTTAATTTAACAAACCAAAATAATGTGAACTATTATATATTATATTTTTTCTCTCAGTGTAACAGAGAAAGGTTGAGTTTTTAGGGGTTCGATTTTCAATCCTGAAAGTATGACAAATATCAGACCTTGAATGTATCTTGGTTCTTGGTCCGTCCGTTGTTGTTGTTGTTGTTGTTGTTGTTGTTGTTGTTGTTGTTGTTGTTGTTGTTGTTGTTGTTGTTGTTGTTGTTGTTGTTGTTGTTGTTGTTGTTGTTGTTGTTGTTGTTGTTGTTGTTGTTGTTGTTGTTGTTGTTGTGTGTTTGTATAAACTGTGGTACTGCATCAGTACACACCACCTACGTACAGTGGAGGTTCAGGAAACCTTTGTTGCTGGTGTTTACAGGTGTAATATCAAATTAACATCTTCTTCAAAACACCTCGTTATTAAGATCACAATCTGTCTGCTCGTTGCTCGAGGACAACAACAACAACAACAACAACAACAAAACCAAAGATTCTGCTCATAGTTTTTGGAGGTACCGTGAAATGTTAAGCGTTGCTGTGGATTCCGTCAGGGCCACTGTGGGTGTTTAAGTCTTTTATCTCCGTCCCAGAGTCATTACTTTCTGTCAGTTTGACGACTCCACTTGTGGCGTGGAGATAACAGACAATCATCTAAATGAAGTCTGCCTGGAAACTGGCTAATATGGTTTCCCCAGCGTTAATGAATTCCAACCAGATTCCTGGTGATACAGATTCATGTCCTGGTTTTCTCTTTCTCACCAAAACGATTTGGGTTTTGTTGTTTAAGTGGTTGTTGAGGTTAGACATACAGTGTTAGAAGAGATCACGTTACTTCAAGATGAAGTACACGGCAACTGGGAAAAAATGATCGGAATTTAATGGATGGACGGAAACTGTAATGAACGTATGTCCTTGTCTGTGATTGGTCTGTGATTGTAGATCATTACGTTCTTCGGAGGTCAAGTCTACACCAACGAGGCGACAGGCAGCGAGCGTCTCTCCTTCGCTGCCGATTACCTCAACGGAGACGCCTCGCTGCTGATCAGCGACCTGCTGCTGTCCGACTCTGGAGAATACTACTGCAAAGTCAAGTCAGGAGGGACGTACCACTGGAGCCAGGTCAACCTCATAGTCCTGGGTGAGTGTGACCCACTGCCACACACACACACACACACACACACTGACACAGAGCTAATCAGTGGCTCGTTAGCCTGGCACAGTTCCTCCGTCATGCCGACTGATCTAATGATTCAATTGGATTCAGACGGTGTCGTTTGATTTTGCTCGTGCTGTTTGGGTTCGCTTGGATTGTTTTGGTGATGAGGTGCACCCACAGACCATGGACCATGGACCATGGACCAGGCGCCTGGTCCTGGAGGAGCGCAGAAACTGATTGATTAGGGTTAGAGACATTTGTTCTTGACAAATCTCGACAAGGAAACAGGAAACAGTTTCTTCCTCCAAGTTTGGAGTTGGTTCTCATTGAAAATGACATTAAAGAATTACAGTGTCATCGACGTAACTGATGATCAAGAAGAAGCCACAACAGCGTCCCTGGTTCTTTTGATGGTTTTTGTTTAAGTTCATTTGGACGTTTCTCAAATACTTCAACAACTTCAACGAGGACAGACGGCAGAGAGCGATGAAATATCCCACAAACCCCAGCCAGTCAGGAAGTCCGGTGAGAGGAGCCCGATCGTTCTCAATGTCACAAAGAAGGAGATTTATTAAAACATCATGGGAGATTAGTTTAACCCGCACTTATTGGTTTTCTAATGGAACAGTCAGTTAATCCTCTCGCTCTCGCTCTCCTCTCCCTCGCGTCACAACGTTTTACTGTCTTCGTGCCTTCGCTTTTATGAACTGCCTTCAGCTTTGTGGTGGAGTGTTTGGACTCGGAGAGAAAGAGGTCGTCTTCTGTGACACGCCACGCTAAAAAACGCCAGTGACCAGTGAACGTCTTTAGATTCACATCTGTGTCCAGACACGTCGGCGCCAACAGACCTGCTCTGTTTTGGGTCTTGACCCAGAATGAGCAGCATCAGTGCTGACGGCTCAGCTCTTCTCAGTTTATTTCCTGTGGAGAGTGTGAGCGCGGCTGCTGAAAAGTCTGCTCCTGAGAGCTGGAGTGCTGCAGGACGGGAGGATTAGACCAACAAATGGAGGGAGTCTAAGCCGTCTGGCTTTATGTGCTCCAACATTAGTCACAACGTCTCAGCATTTCTCGGGAGGTGTTCGTTTTCTCTCCTCTGCTGAAACGCAGCGGCATCAAAACTTTAAAGAATCAACATCGCTCACAGACAGCACACTCACAAAAAAAAAAAAAAAAACCCGCACAGAACCCAACAGACTAAATCCAGCCGACCAATCACCCGGCAGCGTGTGACACCGCGGAGAGGAGAGAGGAAACGCCGCCTCTGGGCCAGGATCTAAACAGAGCAGCTGAGCGGGCTCCAGTTATGTGGCGCTCTGCCTCCAGCTACTGGACTATGAGCAGGACCTTTGACCTTTGACCTGTGACGAACACATCACCAGCAGCACATACGGCCGGCTGTGGTGTCACATTGATCCAGTCGCCATGGAAATGTTGTGGTTTTAGAACTGTACGACACTGGAAGTACTCAGCTGTGTACACTAAATCAAACGGTACTACAGTACTCAGCTGTGTACACTAAATCAAACAGTACTACACTACACTGTTCATGAAGTGATGAAGTGGTGTATTTTTATTTTTTAAGAATTTTGTTTTTAAAGTACACTGTTCATGAAGTGCAGTGGTGAATTTTTATTTTTTAAGAATTAAGAAAAACGCTTTACTTTAAAAAAATATTCAAGGAACCATGTATTTCATAATACAGACTTAGACTTTGGACATGATTCACTGTAAAATTTTGAAAAATTACAATTATTAAAATGAATTGAATAATTGACCATTATTCTTCCTGTGTTTGACTCACTTCAGTTAAACCTTCCAAACCCACCTGCTGGAAGGACAGGAAGCCCCTAGAGGGCAGCGATGTGAAGCTGAGCTGTGAGTCCAGCGAGGGTTCGGAGCCCATCAGCTACAAGTGGGAGCGGGTTCTGGACAAAGGCAAGAGTCTGGGCAAACTGCCAAACCTGGCCCTGATTGGTAAGAAACGCTAATTGAGCCCACAGTGATTCGCTGATTCAATGATTCGCTGAATTATTTATTTATTTATTTTCTACAGGCCTCATTATTTTTAGGACAGCGTTTTGCTGAGCTCACAAATATTTTTGTTCAGCACCCTGCATATCTCTCTCTCTCTCTCCTCCCTCTCTCTCCCTCTGTTGCTGTTTCTATATATTGTTTTAATATTAATGTTATATTCATGAAAATGATTTTTAAGCAAAGAAGGAACTTTTTTCCTCCTTCAAAACTCAAGTGTGAAGCCATGGCCTGTTTAGTTGAACACAACGCTGACGTACTCAAGGGAATTGAAGAAAGACACATACAAAGAAGAGTTCTGTGTTTAAATTGTTCGACCAAACACGTAAACAAAAGCTCTGCAGTGATGCAGTGACGGGGAATCACTGCACTGGGAAAATGGGACATTTCAGCGTACTGTACCTTTAAATAGAAGGATCCAGACAAAAACAATAAAAACCCAAATGCAATAGTCTATAATGAACTGGCAGCTGTGTAAAAACAGCTCTGCTTAATGTGTGCCCTCCAGACCATAATAAGCAGAAAGGAGGCGCCAACCTCTCCGTCTGAATGTTTCCCTTCAGTTTTCCACTGGCATCTGCCCAGACAAAAACCTTCAGATTAACGACCGCCACCTCACGACACCTGTTCGCTCTAATTAGTTTTCATTGGACGATAACACACGGTGTCAGCAGCCATTATTTAGAAGTCCTGTGAAAGGTTACGTCACATGGTTGTCACTTGTGGAGAGGACTAAATGTCCCATGAGGCCTTGGGGTTTCTTACACACACACACACACACACACACACTCGTAGATGAAGGACGACTTTGACCCCACGTCCGTCCGGTGACCACGTGTTTTTCCTCCTCCTCAGACCTGAAGAACCCGGGGATCGTGACGCTCAGGAATCTGACCATGGACAGCACAGGCGTCTACAAGTGCACGGCGACCAATGACGTCGGAGAGGAAAACTGCACAGTGGAGGTCACGATGGACAGAGGTGGAAAGTAACGAATTACATTTACTCATGTTACTGTAACGGAGTAGTTTTAGGAATAGATTTTTATTACTACATTTTAACTCAAGTATTTTATCGCGCTACTCCGGAAAAGAACGAAGTAGGAAAATAATGCAGTCCGACAAACGTATCAATGTACTTAATAAAATGAGTTGCAATGCCGCCATCTAGTGGCCTTCACTTTCATGTACAGTCGTTTTTCCCCAAAAATATTTTTCGGTTACACATCATTAAGGGAATAAATCCAGGCATTGTGTTATTCAGGTTTTCTGATACTTATTCTTAAAGCTAGTATATAATTATGCTAATATCCGTCTGTCGATAACATCGGACTTCCCTGATTGTAAGTTTAGAGACTGTGGGGGAGAGAGGGGGGGGTCAGTCTCCTCACCCCACACTGCCTCCAGGACTGATGGTTATTGTTTTATAATCCTGCTCTCTGCCTCCCCCCTCTGGTCACCACCTCGGCCACAGCCGACACGTTTCACTGACGTAGAGAAAATGTCACAGCAGTGACACCTTCAGTCTGGTGTTGGGAGGTGTTTGATGATTGTTCACCTCAGGGCGAGAACCGGAGGTGATGAAGAATGTGTTGCAGTGACATCATCACTCATTATGTCTTGTCTGCCTACAGGTGGGGTGAATGTGGGCGTTTGGGCAGGTTTGGTGGTGGTCGGATTCCTCAGCGTCCTCACGTTAATCATCTGGCTGGTTTTCCAGAATAAGGTGAAGAAGAAGTACGAGGAGGACGAGACTCCCAATGAGATCAGGTGTGATGTTTCCACCAACTCCTCTTTATTTACAGATAATCCTGAAAGTCAAACGTACGGTTCTGTTGTTCCTACTTTAATCAGAAGAAGAACCTTTAGATTTTTAGAAGAAGCTTTGTGGACTTGGTTCTTAAAATTTTATTTTATTTTCCCTGAAATCTTTTTTTTTTATCCATCACTCGATGTTTCAGGCGACCCCAATTTAATTCCAATCGTCCCTACATGGGGTTGCGACCCCAAGGTTGAAAAAACATTGAGGTAGTATGTGGTTTCTGGATCCTCTGTGGCCTAGTTCAGACTGATCCATGGCCCAAATCTGGTGAGGAGACCGATGGTTGAGAACCCCTGGTGTAGTTCACTAAGGGTGAAATAAAGTTTACTCTTGATAAAAGTTCCTCGACTCGTGGACCTGGAGCAGCAGGAGCTCAGGGACTGGGTCTGATCTGGACCCACAGACAGACGTAGTATTTACTCCGTGTAGTATTTCGGGGCGGTTCAGTTCTGTCCTCCGCCGTCGTTCGACTCCTCTCGTCTCTCTTTGCCCCCGGCGTTTGAAACAGATGAGTGTTTTTCTCGGTGTTCCTGCAGAGGACGGTTGTAGACGCTGGTACAGATGACAGGGTTTTATGTCTGCCTTACACAGGAGTCCTACAGTCCTCACATCAGTGGGAGAAACCCTGCTGACTCAGCCCCCCCACACCCCACCCCCCCACATCCTGCCCCCTGGTGACGGGGATTTTACAACAGCTGCACTTTCCACGCCGTCTTAGTGACGCTCGCTGTAGAACAAATACCTCAGTATTGATGTTCGATGTCACAGTACTTTTACTTTTACTTTGTGTTGAGTTCAGGCCACACTTTAAATATTATTTTATCAGGAAATAAAAAAATAAAAACCCTTGGCCTATGAAAAGGGTTTGTTTTTTTTTCCTGCGGAAAAATACTTTTTTTTTCCTCCTCCTCCTTCTACAACTCAGTGTGGAGAAGCAGTGAATTCAGCAGATTTCATTATTCCATAAAAATGTGTATTTCACAAAACTCAGCGGCTGAGCAGCAGCTCATGAATTACATGAGGCACCCATATAATCACTGTGCATCTGTGTGTGTGTGTGTGTTTTCCAGGGAGAGTGTTCTCTATTTTTAGTCAAAGCTCAAAATAAATGAACCATCATTTTTCTCTTTGTCTGTGTGTGTGTGTGTGTCACCACAGGGAGGACGCAGAAGCTCCCAAGGCTAAGCTAGTGAAGCCCAACTCCCTGTCCTCGTCCCGCTCCGGCAGCTCCCGCTCCGGAGCCTCCTCCACTCAGTCGATGGTCCACAACAGCACCCAGCGCGCTCAGCGCCCCCGCCAGCCGACCGTGGCGGCGCTCAAGGAAAACGGACAGCCTCCGGGCTTCCCGCAGTCGCCTCCAGCCTATAATGCAGTGGTGCCCCCCAAAACCCCCGAGCCCCCTTCTACTCCCAAGTTCAACTCTAGAAACACGACAGGGCCCACACCCCCCACCCTCATGGTCCCTGCCCAGACCAAGGCCTTTCAGACTGTGTAGGACCGGGGGCCGCTCACCTGCGTCAGTCAGACCCCCGTCCCGGCCCAAGCCCCTCACCCCCCCATCCCAAAGACTTCTTCCATAGACATGGAAAAGCAACGAGTTTAAAGGATGTAATTTAAAGAATCAATACTATAAGCCCCCCCCCACTCCCCCCCCTCAAAAAAAACTTTATGAATGCATCTATAAATGGGAAAAATATGACTTGCTTGCCAACAGTGAAACACAGGATGATAAACAGGAGTGAAGCTGAAACTGATTGTGTCTCACGGCTGAAGGCAGGAGTTTGAACCTTGGTCGGACTGTAGGAGACACAGGGAACCACCAGGGGGCCGAGGACAGAGAAGAGCTTTTATATAGAAATATAAGATGAGGCGTTCAAGAACGCAGGAGAAAAGTCTGCCAGAGATTTAACCCATAAGTCATCGTACCTGTGGTTGGGTCTCTGAGGCCGGGTCTCTAGTCCCAGGTCTCTAGTCCCAGGTCTCTGAGGCCGGGTCTCTAGTCCCAGGTCTCTGGTCCCAGTCTCTAGTCCCAGTCTCTGGTCCCAGTCTCGTCTCCAACATCTCTCCGTATAAACCAGTAGCTCTGAACCTCTTTTCTTCCCACGTGGATCGTAGCGTGTGGCGTGAACATCACCTGCTGGATTTGCTGTGCTGTTGCAGAAACCACTGTGGTCCAGAGGAGGAGTCGGCTCACCTAGTCTTTGTCAATCACCGGGGGGGGGGGGGGGTTTCAGGTAGCAGGATGTAGCATTGATGGGGTTCTTCAACCAGTGGTGATGTCGAAGCCGCTCCAGTCCTTTTATGGTACTAAATACTGTATATTCTCTGACTAGTTAAATAGTATATACTGTATAAGGCCTATAGTGTCTCATTTAAAGCATAGGGGGCGTGGTGGTGGTGGTGGGGGG